TTAGCAGTTGCCCTAGACAAATTATTGTTTGAAGCTATGGCGTATTTGCTGAATTTAGTTTTGATTGTGCAGGCATCCTGTTTGTGTAATGCCACACATAGATGTATGGGATATATTGTTTTCTGAACATGAATCGCCAGGGAACAGGACTGATGGATCTCAGCCACCAATGGTCTCTACAGGTGTCAAAACAAAAATGAAGATCCTTGTAATTTGCTGCAAATAAGGGAAATTTTAGAGGTAAGGCCCGTTACCTTATTTTTTAATTTAATATATATTGTAATCAATGTTAAATATAAGCTCTAGGCATTGACTATCTATGCTATCCCTAAAGATATTCATCATCCGGAACTCTAGCGAATAGGCAGATGGTCATAAACCTTTGTATCAGGTAATGGGCAGTAAATGAGTCCGTATAAAGGAGAAGGTTTGGAGTGCAATGGTGTAGTGGAGATGGTAAGCACCTATGGTGTCACTCTCTAAATCTTCAAAGGCCATAAAATTCAATGCTTTTGAATAATTTCAATGTACCCAGACATTGCATTCCTGGAATCTCAAGTTCCAAGTCAGGCCTCGTACTTTGTGTAGGATACATCCCACAATATGTGTTAAAAACTACACTAAACCCCTATAAAAGAGGACATGAAAAAGGATATGGAAAATAAACCATGATATGGCCATAAACAGGTCATATGACCTTTTGCCTTTCTGATGTTGCAATCACTTATAACCTAAAGTCCTAGTGTATGGACCATGTTCCCGTTTTGATCCTTAAAGTGATCATTAATTTTTATTAACAAGGAAGTAATAAAAATCATCACACAATATATTGTATTCCTGTTGAGAAAGGAAACCAATGAAAATAAATAAATAAATACCTAACTGTATCAGAAACCCATTTTCTGTGCTGCAATATGCAGTGGAGCCTTACATTTTAATCTTCATTGCCGTCATGTCCAACTCCACTCTAGTTCTAAATTCCCATTGGACGATAAAGGTAGTAAGCCCCAATCTCTCTAATTATCTCTATGCTGGCATCATTAAGATATATTACATGTAAGAATGTCAATATTTAAACAGCAGTTTCCCTGTACTGAACATCACAAAAGTGATGTTGCATTGGAAGAACAATATCATTTGCATTTTTGTACTCACTTTACAAGTCTCCCTACAAATGAATGATAATTTGCAATGAAACAATGACAGATTTCAAATCGTTTTTATGACCTGACAGGTTATTGAGACTGGAAATAACTACAAGATAATTAGCCTTATGAGAACCCAGTGGGCTTAAATATATTTCTCAGGTCAAATGTTCCACGATGATTCCCTGGATAATATCTCGGTGGCTTTCTTCTCTGCACAATACAAGTTTACCTCCGCTCTAAGCACGTGCCTCATTTGTATCTGACCTTACTTAAACCTCTCTGAGTTTCAAGCAGAGCTGATTTTGAAAGGTTCGAGTTACCTTGCTGAGCTGCCATGCCAACCTACCAGGGTCGTTCTAGATAACGCCCCCAAATAGCAAACTCCGTTTCCATTTGTAAAAATTTAAATTTCTAGAATGCGATCAGCGAGAATGCTTTCTATTGGTCTTTTTTTTGGAAATGTACAGAGATGCACTTACTAAAAATGAGCTTATTTCAAATGCTTGTATAAAATTGCTTGCTGCTTCTATTCAGTTGCATAGAGCTTTGTATTTTATGATTCTCATCAACATAAAAAAAAAAAGAAAAACTAAAGATATATATTGAAAATTAAACCCATAGAAAAGAGCAGAATATTGGATCTCCGTTTAACCAGTGGTGGTTATGAATCACCCTTTTTCTTTTTCCAATATCATGTCTTTCCCTCCATCACTCTCTTTTCCCCTACCCCCTCCTTCTTCTCCCCACAGAGTTTCATTATGGGCACTGTCTGATTTTGCTGTCATGGGATAACCGATGGGTACTTTATGATGTAGCTGCTATATTTTGAATGATAGGTTTTCATTGTTGTTATGGTGCTGAATGGATATGAGATCCATTAGGGTGACTGATGGATGTGGTAAGGAATGGGTAGAAGAAGAGTGACTGATGGATGCTGTTGGTACTATGGAGGTGCTTTAGGGTAACAACGAATTTTGTATGTTATGTGTGCAATTGTGGGTGACTGCAAAATGCAGAATACCCAAACGTGTTCTTTTAAAGAGAGAGTTACAAGTATACATTTCATTAGAAAAAAAACCCATTTAAATCATTTCCCCAACTTCCCCAACCATCATACCGTGAATGCAGCTGACATGCATTGAAATGTTTCTCACAGGTACAGATATGTACAAAGACAGAGAGTCAGTTTCAAATGTTGCAGATTTATTCTTCTCTAACACTCAGAGTTTTGTTGAACCACACTGGCTGCATGCTATATCTCCTTAGTGATTAGAGAACGGTTCGATTCACTGACATGTGTCAATCATGTTTCAGTAATAGCTGGAATGTTTTTGGTAATGTCTCTACGCTACATAACAGTAACATAGTATCAGAACTTTGCTGCTCTCTGTGTGCGCAACAATAAAAAACAAAACAAAAAAAAAAACAACAATTAGGGCATATCCAGTTAACAATATAATAGAAGAAAAACCAGGAATAGAGTTTATGGCTGGGAATTCTATGGACCTCACAGTAGCCACAGTCTGGGGCTACTCAATTTACTTTTGTGGTCTATGTGATGTATGTGTGAGGTCTGTCGTTGGTCCAGTTATATGGTCTTTTTAAGGTGTTATTAATTACATTTCCATAACATAAGAGTATAACACACCACTCATCCACTGAGTAGCCTCCGAATCTCCCTCTAAGCCTATTACTGGTGGATACATTTGACCAGATTTGAACAGATAATGAGGAAGTAGAAGTAGAATCAACCATTTCTGCAGCAAAGTGCCCAGGCGATGGATGACCGGTAAGCCCTCCTTTTATTTTTGTGCTAGAAAATGGTTTGACAAAAAATGGACAGGTTCCAGCCAAAGACACTGTTCACCGTAACTGCCACAATAAGCTACAGTGCTTATGGTGCTTATAGAGTGCATTAAACTCAAAAGCTACCAAACACTCTTAATTAAAGACACTGAACTAAGTGCTAAGTTACATATAATGCAAGACTAAAACAAAGTACATAGGAGGGGCAGTAATCAAGCTCCAATATGTCTGGTACCTGTGAGGTGAGTAAAGATCCCTGCTCAAGGAATTCCAAGACATAAAGCTCCAGCACTCATGTGCAATGTGTGGTTACTAAGCCATCCAAAATGATTGGCAATGTTTCGACACAATGTGTGTCTTTATCAAGCCATCATGGCTCGGTAAAGACACACATCTTGCCGAAACGCTGTCTGTAATTTGGGATGACTGAATACATTGCACCTGAAATTACCGACTTCTGGGACTTTATTTACTTTAATATTATACCAGACTGCTATTGTTATGACAACCTTCACAGCACAGCTTGATATAGGGAGTATATTAACTAAACAACAAGTAAGAGTGTTAACAACTGGACTTTAGATCTCTAACCTAGACTATATTAAACAATAGACAAAAAAAGTACTAAGATGTCCCATGCCACACCATCCTGTTACATGTACATAGCAGTACAAATCAGACATTAGGACATTCTCACACTTTAAGTGATCAAAACCGATAAGAGAATTAAAATATAGTTTGTAACCACCCTGCATTTGTATCTACAGTCTACTTAGTTAAAGCGACACCCCAGGCACCCAGACCACTTCTGCCCATTGGAGTGGTCTGGGTGCCAACTCCCACTACCCTTAACCCTGCAGGTGTAATTATTGCAGTTTTTTATAAACTGCAATAATTACCTTGCAGGGTTAACTCCACCTCTAGTGGCTGTCTAGTAGACAGCCACTAGAGGGCACTTCCTGGTTTCTAGCATAGGAAACCTGTGCTAGAGCGTCGCTGGACGTCCTCATGCTGTGTGAGGACCTCCAGTGTTGCTCATTTCCCCATAGGAAAGCATTGAAATGCATTTTCAATGCTTTCCTATGGGGAGCGCTAATGCGCATGCGCATTAGGTCTCCCCGGCCTGTGGGCGGGATCAGTCTTGCCCACCAGCCGACGCAATCAGAGGGAGGAGCGGCGCAGAGGAAGAAGCAGCGATGTGGGAATGCCTCAGGTAAGTTACTGAAGGGGTTTTCACCCCTTCAGCAACCGGGGATTGGGGTGGGAGGGAGAGGGGACCTGTAGTGCCAGGAAAATGGATTGTTTCCCTGGCACTGGAGTTTCCCTTTAAATGATATTATAAAGGATTTCATTATAAAAATTGATTTAAAAATGAATGAACAAATAAGCCTATTGGTAAAAAATAATACACTAAAAAAGAGGACCAAATTACTGACTAATGACTTGATTAATGACAGCAGGTTGGAAACTTGATATATTTAATGAAAAATTAAATTAAATTAAATATTTTACAATGATCAGAAATGAGTCTTCAGACTTTCATCAGCTAATAATTTCCACAATCATTGGTATTTTTACAGAATCCACATTGCAGACAACGTTACAAAATGTCAGATCAAGTGTACTTTAATTTATCTTTTTTGAAACAGAGAAAACGACAAACATGACAAGCGTCTGAATTCTAAAACTGTAAGTGAGTGATCATTTTTGGAAACAGAAAATGAAATCAGATTGTTTTTTTTGTTTTGTTTTCACAGAGATAGAAAGAGACAGATGATTCAGGGAGCTTCGGATAACACTCGACTGTTGGACTTTAAAGAAGAACATTGCGTTCGGAACAGATGCAATGACATTTTATTGTAAAACAAGGCTAGCTGGATAGCGATCGAGCATTGCCACAAAACTAGTATCGGAAAAATTATCTGAGGGTGAAGATTTAAAAGTATGCTCAAAGTGACTTACATTGCCTTGGGAAGAGAAAGGAAGGATATCCAGCGTTTTCATTTAGACTGAGCAAACGTCACATCTAGCCCAAGGTGTAATTGAGTTTCATCTGATGACCAACAGAGAGAAATCTGTAGACATAAAGAGAAATAGTGTGTATTTGTTGCAAAATCAAAAGCCAATATTCACATCACTCTGCAAACAAGTAGTTCTTTGCTTCATCAGGTATATGAAAGCGATATGTATGCTGTGGTGCTAATGTCTGTAGGTGAGTCAGCTATTGGCAAATATAGACATCTAGCTGACCAGAAGCTGTAAATCCCAGAACATTCCCCGTGGAGAGAACTGATAAAAGGGAGAGTTGAGAATAGGATGACTTTTTTAAATCTTTTTTTTTCCTTTTTGCAGAAAGTTTTGTCATATCAGAATACTAGAATACAGTTGTGACTCTACAACGCTTATACTTTTCTTATAACTTCACAAAGTGTATATATTTTTTAAAATGTTGTCCAAACTACTGCAACACTTGCAAACTGCAACATGAAATTAACATTTGTAGGGTATTTACTGATGTGAGAATTCAAAGTGAATTTCACGTATTAGGCTTTCGGTGTAGTGAATGGAAAGCATTACTGACTTTTCCATTTTGGCTTTTTGACCTTTTAAATTTGCATTGAATTCGCCTTGAATTCTCAATTTAGTACTTATAGGGAACATGCAATCAGGTTTTTTCTTGGCTAGAATTACGGCCCTGTGCCATGTGAGTTGACTACTTAACCAAACCATATATATATATATACCGTATATACTCGAGTATAAGTCAACCCAAATATAAGCCGAGGCCCCTGATTTTACCCCCCAAAAACTGGGAAAACTTATTGACTCGAGTATAAGCCTAGGGTGGGAAACGCAGCAGCTACAGGTAAATTTCTAAATAAAATTAGATCCCAATAAAATTACATTAATTGAATATTTATTTACAGTGTGTGTATATATAATGAATGCAGTGTGTGTGTATTGTGTGTAAAATGAATGCAGTGTGTGTGTGTGTGGTGTGTGTGTGTGTATAATGAAAGCAGTGTGTGTGTGTGTGTGTGTATATAATGAATGCAGTGTGTGTGTATATAATGAATGCAGTGCTTGTGTGTGTGTGTGTGTGTGTGTGTGTATATAATGAATGCAGTGTGTGTATATATAATGAATGCAGTGTTTGTGTGTGTGTGTGTTTGTGTGTGTATATAATGAATGCAGTGTGTGTGTATATAATGAATGTAGTGTTTGTGTGTGTGTGTATATAATGAATGCAGTGTGTGTGTGTAGTGTGTGTATATAATGAATGCAGTGTTTGTGTATTGTGTGTGTGTGTGTGTGTATAATGAATGCAGTGTTTGTGTGTATATAATGAATGCAACGCTCTGACGGCCGCGGGTCTCACAAGATTTACACAGTGAGCTGACCGGAACGGAGAAGAATGGAACTGAACGGAGCGGCTGCACATGTAAGTAAGAGCTTGCTCCCAGCCCTCAACAGGACCGCCGGGCTTGTAATGAGCCCGGCGGTTCTGGTCTGTATTATGGCAATGTGAGTTGCCATAATACAGACACTGACTCGAGTATAAGCCGAGGGGTACTTTTTCAGCACAAAAAAATGTGCTGAAAAACTCGGCTTATACCCGGGTATATACGGTATACATTTATACACAGAACCAAGCATTAGAAACATAGAAACATAGAATGTGACGGCAGATAACCATTCGGCCCATCTAGTCTGCCCAATTTTCTAAATACTTTCATTAGTCCCTGGCCTTATCTTATAGTTAGGATAGCTAACTATAAGATCTAACTATAAGATAAGACTAGGGAGTAATGAAAGTATTTAGAAAATTGGGCAGACTAGATGGGCCGAATGGTTCTTATCTGCCGTCACATTCTATGTTTCTATAGATAGATTGCTTTTTCCAATATAAAATATTGGTGCTTTCAGAGTAAAATTTTTAATTATACAGTAAGCATACTCACATGCTGACACAGACAATCTCACTGACACAAGCTGATTGATACACAGCCTCATAGACAAACAATCTCACTGATATACATAAGGTCATTGACATAAAAACACAAGCTCACTCAGTAGCAGGCACAAACACACAAGCAAACCCACTCACTAGCAGGCACGCACACACACACAGCTTAATGTAGTTGCTCTGGTGTCTATAGCCTGTCCCTGCAGGCTTTTCAATGTAAACACTGACTTTTTAGAGAAAAGGCAGTGTTTACATTGCTTCCTAGTGACAGACACTCAAGACGGTCACTAGAGGTGCTTCCTGTGTCAGTGCGGATTGGCTGAGATCATCAAGCTTGATGATCTCAGCCATAGAGGCAGGGCCAGTCGAGGGTAGACCAGCACGAGGTGGGGGGAAAAAAGGTGAGTAAAAACACACATACACAGACACACACCATGACAGACACACACCATGACACAGACAGACCGTGACACAGACACACACACTGTGACACAGACAGAAACACACACACACACATACACCGTGACACAGACAGAAACACAGACACACCATGACAGACACACACACATACCATGACAGACATATACCTTAAAAAAGACACACACACACCATAACACAGACAGACCGTGACACAGACACACATTACATGACACAGACAGACACACACACACACACACAATGACACACAGACACACACACCACGACACAGAGAGACTGTGACACAGACACACACACACCACGACACAGACAAGACACACACACACCTTGACATACAGACACACACACATCATGACAAACACACGCACACATCATGACACAAACAGACAGTGACACAGACAGACACACATTACATGACAGACACACACCCACATTGACAAATACACACATTGCATGACACAGACAGACGCACACACCATGACAGACAGACACACACACACACACCATGACACAGACACACACAATGACACAGACACACATTGCATGACACAGACAGACACACACACACACACCATAACACAGACAGAGACACACACACACACCATGACACAGATAGAAACACACACACACACACCATGACACAGATGCACATACCATGACAGAGACACACACACCATGACACAGACAGACACACACAATGACACAGACACACATTGCATGACACAGGCAGACACACACCATGACACAGACACACACACACACCATGACACAGACAGAGACACACACACCATGACAGACACACACACATACACTCATACATAATTTCTACCTGTGTGCTGGCGGCCGCATGGGGAGCTCTGATGGCGGCCACAGGGGGAGCTGGCTGTTCTGCCTCTGCTCCCCCTCCCCAGCGCGCCGCTTCATGACAGACAGAGACACACACACACACCATGACACAGACACACACAATGACACAGACACACATTGCATGACACAGACAGACACACACACGCACACCATAACACAGACAGAGACACACACACACCATGACACAGATAGAAACACACACACACACCATGACACCGATGCACATACCATGACAGAGACACACACACCATGACACAGACACACACAATGACACAGACACACATTGCATGACACAGGCAGACACACACCATGACACAGACACACACACACACCATGACACAGACAGAGACACACACACCATGACAGACACACACACATACACTCATACATAATTTCTACCTGTGTGCTGGCGGCCGCATGGGGAGCTCTGATGGCGGCCACAGGGGGAGCTGGCTGTTCTGCCTCTGCTCCCCCTCCCCAGCGCGCCGCCTCATGAGACCGGGGCCGGAATATGACGTCTTTGTAGCACGCTGGGGAGTTGGAGCAGAGGCAGAACAGCCAGCTCCCCCTGCGGCCGCCAGAACAGCCAGCTCCCCCTGCGGCCGCCAGAACAGCCAGCTGCCTGCCAGGCCCCAGGTGCCGACGGCCCACCGGGAAATTTCCTGGTATCCCGGTGGGCCATTCTGGCCCTGGTATCTGGAGATAAGGTCTCCAGTTATTTATTTTGTTTTTAAACGTATTATACTATGATATGGCCATTTAGTTTTTTTGATGTTTTTGTAAATTTGCAAGAAAAACATGCAACTATTTGCAAAATGTAAGCTGCAGGAAATCTATATAATTAGATATTTGGGGAAATATTCCCGCAACAAATAAATCCACAGAGTATTTAATAGCAAGGGAGCTTTTTCAAACCCTGAGCCTTTTTTTAATGGAACTTTTTAATAAAGATTTTGCTATGATCTACAAACATTATCTTTATTATTCCTTGTATTTCTAGAAAATCTTCAGCTGCTCTGTACAGCTGGGAAAACAAAAGAAATCTTCACAATAATGATACCAATAATAACTTTCTGCGCTGTCTATCGTCATCTGCTTACAATTGTACACAAAATATAGATGTCTACGAGTGTATATGGTACAATGTCTTTCGGTTTATAAATAACCAATGGAGATTGTTATTTAACACAATGAAGTATTGTACAGACACACTATATTCACACGATAACAATGTCTCTGTATCTACAACAAGACAATCTCCAGCAACATTCTGTCACTTAGCAAGACATTCGTCCTTCCTTAACTTTCAGTCCCAGAGCTAGCGAGACACAGTTCTTCTGATTGTTTTTTTGTTCATTTATAAAGGGTTTTACCAACAAGAATGCATTGTTCTTTATGTCCTAGACTGGTTGGAATTATTAGGCAAATCTATTGCTTTCTCGATCACATTGAGGTATTGCACATGAAAAGCAATTAGAGAAATCACTTTCCGTGCAAAGTAAGACTTTAAAATTCACGGGAGTCATTTTGTGATGACTCCCGTGCAAAGCAGTGTATAAGATTGCATTGCTGTCTGCTTAAAATACTTTGAAGATAGAATATGTTTGAAAGGATTGGTAATACAGTATGAAGCTAAAAAGCTTTGCTTCAACCATCCTCTGTCATTGGTAAGGAAATGTCACCCTTCCAATTTTTGCAAACCACAACAATTATTAGCCTCACCCAACTAAAGCTTGACAACTTCAGTGCTGAGCTATTATTGGTCTACAATATCCATCATAATCGAACGCTCCCGGCAGGGCAATGTGCACTCGAAAAGCTAATGTTCTGTCTAGAACACACATTATCGACCGCTACCTTATTGATGATGGTAGCTGCATTCTCTCAGTGGCCAGGGATGTGGTCACTGATACCTAACCTTATTTATTCACCAGCTTTTTAAGACATTGATGCAGAAGCCCACCTCCTTATCTCCTGCTCTGGAAAGCTCTTAGCAAACTTCTCTGCTCATCTGACATCCCATTTCTAGATGTGCGAATGTTTCAGAATTCTTTGAATGTAAAATGCAGAGGCATTCTGCTTGGCTGAATTCATCTACATGCGTTATCATATTTTGCAAATCCTCGCTGTGTTAGACCGAGAGAGAGTATTTCCAATAAAGGAACATTACAAAATAAAAAGCCATTCCGTCACAACCTGATGACAAATCTCATAACTCTTTTGCATATAGCTAGTGAATCACATTTGCTGTTCTTTTTATATATATTGGGTACTTCAGTCTGTATAAGTTAACATTTATTGAGCCATAAAACTTCTATTATTTAAAGAAGTCTTATCTTTGTGCTCTGTACAGTAGTACAATAGTCTCTATCTATCTCATAGGTGTACGCAGCCTATTGCATAAGGGGGTGCACAAACATACACACCGCGTATGTGTGTGTGTGTGTATATGTATGTATGTATATATATGTATATATATATATGCACACACATCATATATACACACACACATACACTGCTGTGTGAGAGTCCTGTGTGTCCGGGCGCTGTGTGTATGTGTGAGAGGGTGCGGTGTGTGTGTCTGAGGGCACTGTGTGTGTGTGTGTATGGGTGCTGTGTGTGAGGGTGCAGTGTGTGTGTGTGTGCTGTTAGAGTGTGTGTGAGGGCACTGTGTGTGTGTGTGTGTGTGAGGGTGCTGTTAGTATGTAAGGGTGCTGTTAGTGTGTGTGTGCTGTTAGTGTGAGGGTGCTGTTAGTGTGTATGTGTAATGCTGCTGTGTGTGTGTGTGCTGTGTGTGTGTGTGTGGGTGCTGTTAGTGTTAGGGTGCTGTTAGTGTGTGTGTGTATGGGTGATGTATGTGTGTGGGTGCTGAAGGTGTGTGGGTGCTATTTGTGTGTGTATGTGTGCTGTGTAAGGGTGCTGTTTGTGTGTAGTGTGTGTCACATGGAGTAAGGGCTCTGTATCCAACCTGACCCAGAGCTCCACATAAGCACAAATTTTCTCCACAAAATATAACCCCATGAAGCGCACGGTGTCCTTCTACTGACTAATGTCTCCATCAAAACAAATGAAGCTCACTGAACCGTTTTGACAGGGGAGAGAGTACCGCCAAAAGGCGCAACAAGATGGTGCCAACTCGGACGCACAATCTTTGATATCGGAAGGCCCCTCGGAGCCTGACCTCAACCCAGACACTCTAGGGGACAAACCGGTAATCAATAAAGGCATCTATAAGGTTATCCAAGACCTGCGATCCACAATTCATAAGGATTTCCAGCAGATTACTTCCTCCATCCACAAAGACCATGCAGATCTGGGGGAGAGGACAAACCACCTCGAACATAAAACAGAGGAATTGTGCACTGCGCACAATGATGTGGCTGATAGGATCCAGAGACTAGAAGAGGAACACGTCATGATGAAAAACAATGTGCGCTTTCGTGGCATTGCAGACTCCATCACCGCAGACCAACTCCTGGCCTACATTAGCACAATGTGCCAGGTGCTTGTACTAGAGCTTCAGGATACAGAGTACATCGTCTGCTGAGATTCCCAATTCACCGAGGGATGTGGTGGTACACTTCCACTACTATAAGTCTAAGGAAGCCCTACTGAATACCACCAAGAAATTTGAAGTACTGCCAGAGCCATACCAGCATCTCAACCTTTTCGCAGACCTGTCAGCTTCCACTATGGCACCGAGGAGGGAATTTCTTACAACAACGAAGACCCTCTGCAACCACAAGATCCCATATCACTGGGGCTTCCCAACAAATCTGCTGATCTAGTGGAATGGTTCCCTTCACACGGTCCTGGAACCGGAGCTTTCTTTTAGCAAAATCAAGATGTGGGACCTGTGGAGGAATCCACAAGCAGACTCACCTGCACAACCGCACAGGCCTGAGGTAATGCCGGAATGGTCCATGGCAGGTTCCCAGAAACTAGCTTAACAAGTGGACTATCGAGACTGCTAATCATTACTCATTGCCAGCTAGGTGATCGGGACTGCTTGTGGTGTTTTATAGTCCACAGGCCACCCAGAAGATGGTGATTTTACCCCACGTCCACAGACTTCTACCTATGGACTCGTCACAGACTTCTTCAATGGCAGGTTATATGCATTACTGATCAGACACGTAAGATACGTTACACAATAACGCAGAAACTCAAAAAAAAAAAAATAATAGGCAACAAAAAAAACAAAGAAACCCCCCCCAAAAAATAAACCGTTGAGATCCATATTGTAGGCGTTGCTACATTGTTGAATTGTTATATGACATTCTTAGATGTATTGCCCCTATTTGGGTTTACTTTAAATGTTTAAGGACTTGAACATCAGTACATATCCAGATACATAAGTTCTCATGGGCTGAATGCTAAAGGAGCAAGCGCTCCGTTGCATCTTTGCGTGCGGACAGGTAAGGAGTTGGTAAAGGAGATGGTGTTGGCCTTTTGTGTTAAATGTAGTGTATAACAATTGACTTAGTGTCCATCCCACATGTACTTAGCTCATACCAGTGCTGGGACGCCCCGTGAAGCCCAGCAACAGGCATCTGGGTTTCCTTGTAGCCTGGGGCCAACATGATGTAGGGGCGAACACCGAGCATTTTGACAGCACACTTACCATGATTCTGAGTAGTTGTGATATGGAGATATCACTAAGGTTTAAAATTAACTCTTTTAGGCTACACCCTATAGTACCGAAGGGGAAAATCCCACGGACCAAAAGCATATATATGGGTTGCTCTGTCCTCTCTATGTAGATGACACGCAAATCTACCTGTCCTCTCCTGATCTCTCCCCGTCCCTCTTGACTAGAGTCTCTGACTGCCTCTCTGCTATTTCTAACTGGATGGCTGCCCACTTCCTTAAACTAAACTTGACCAAAACTGAAATTCGGGTCTTTCCTCCCTCAAGTGTTGTTACTCCTGTGTCTGTCTCCCTCCAAGTCAATGGTGCTACCATCAGATCCACCATGCAGGCTCGCTGCCTAGGTGTTCTCTTTGACTCCGACCTCTCATTCAAGCCTCATGTTCAATCTATCGCCAAATCCTGTCATTTCCATCTCAAAAACATTGCGCGCATCCGCCCCTACTTAACGCCAGATGCGACTAAGTTGTTGGTCCATTCCACTGTCTTTTCTCGCCTTGACTACTGTAATCCACTTCTCAGTGGACTTACGTGCTCCCAGCTTGCGCCGTTACAGTCCATAATGAATGCGGCAGCGAGGCTCATCTTCATATCCGCCCGCACCTCCCATGCCTCACCCTTCTGTCAGTCCCTACATTGGCTTCCTATAAAATATAGAGCTCAATTTAAAATGCTGGTTCTTGCTTTCAAATCGCTACATAATGTTGCTCCCACCTATCTATCCTCCCTTATACACGAGTATGTCCCGTCTAGGCCCTTACGATCTGCTGAAGACTTACGTCTATCTTCTGTCCGTACTCCCACCTTTGATGCTCGCCTTCAAGACTTCGCGAGGGCTGCACCGTTCCTGTGGAGCTCGCTTCCCTCCTCCGTTAGATGTCCCAGTCTCCACTCCTTCAAAAAATCGTTAAAAACCCACTTCTTCAGAAAAGCGTATCAATTGAACTGTTAATAGCTCCCTACTGATTCCTCTTCTGCAACTGTCACTAGTCTAATACTATCCTTACCTTTTTGTGTCATTTTACCTCACTCCCTCTAGCATGTAAGCTCATTGAGCAGGGCCCTCAACCCCTCTGTTCCTGTGTGTCCAACTTGTCTGGTTACAACGACATGTCTGTTCGTCCACCCATTGTAAAGCATTGCGGAATTTGATGGCGCTAGATAAATAACATAATAATAATAATAATAATAATTAGCTAACAGTATCATACACAACCCAAATACTTAACACATGGCGTACAATTTTTCTTTTTTGTCACTAAATGTAAACGGGTTAAACAGTCCGAATAGAAGACGTCTAGCTATCCAAGAGTTACACAAATCTAAGGCAGTAGTTGTGTGCTTGCAAGAGACACACTTCTGTCTAAGAGAGCCACCTAAATTTCGATGTAAACATTATCTCCAAGCTTTTCACACTCTTCCCCTGCATCTTAAGGAGTTTTAATACTATTCCACGCTGACTGGGTGTTTCAGCAAGAAAACAGTTACACAGATGACTTGGGGCACCTTTTGATCCTTGTGGGGGCACTTAATGGGATTCGGGTTACCATAGCTTTACTATACGCCCCAAACAACTGACAATCTACTTTTTTAAACAAAGCATTGAAACATATAACACGCATGAGTAAGGGTGACACTATTATATGTGGGGACTTTAATGGCATTTCGGATCCAGAACTAGACATTATAGGATTGAATGGCAAAAAAAACACACAACTCTATGATCTCTCTAAGCCAGAAACTATCCCAAATACTTCACAACCACAAACTATGGTGACAAACACGTGGCGAGGATTGTATCCATCAACACGTTACTATATGTTCTTCTCCCCAGTGCATCTTACATACTCACACATAGACATGTGCATTGTCAACAAATCTACCCTTTTAAATGTGCAAGAAGTCCAGATAGGCAACTGAACGTGGTCGGACCATGCCCCTATCACGATCACATTCCTGGCATGGGGGAGAGGTACTTGGCAAATCAACTAATCTCTTTGAAAACACTACTGCCCACCTAACCATAATTTGGCAAGTCATACAAAACTACTTTAAGGAGATTACCGATACCTCCACAACCATATCCGCCCAATGGTTAGCTCACAAGGCTGTTCTCAGAGGCGTCCTGATTCAGGTGGGCTCCTATAAAAAAAGACGCGCATGTGCGGCTCAGTCACGATCCTTCGAGATCTCTCCTCATTGGAAACTCAAAACAAAAGTTTCCCATCCAAAAAATTAACCAAGAAATTAACCCAAGTAAAGTATACACACTATCCCTACAAAAAAACAGGAAAGCAACTTAGGAGCCTAAAGCTTACATACTACACCCAAGGTGATAAAGCCGGTAAATTGCTGGCCAGCAGACTAAAAACTAGCTTTATACAATCCAAAATACCATACATAACCTCTACACAAAACATAAAGCTGTACAACCTTAACTCAATTGTAGACGAACTAGATAATTTCTACACTAATCTCTATAATTTACATTGCGATCAAGCAACCCAATAACCCACTACAGAGGGCATAGAAAGGTTCCTGGGGGAAGTCACCCTTCCGTAGATTAGTGAACACCAAAGACAAACACTAGTTAGGATGAGGACAGATCTGCAATCCTCTCACTCTCGAAAACATAAAGCACCGGGCCCTGATGGGTTCACCAATTATTATTACATTAATTGCGAACCCTTTTGACCCCTCATCTTACCAAACTGTACAACCATATCAAAGATACTGGACTTATTCCACAGGAAATGTTGGAAGCCCATATAATAATCCTGCCTAAGCCAGGTAAATCACCCACTAAATTCTCAAACCTGCGCCCCATTTCGCTGCTAAACACGGATCTCAAATTATACGTCAAACTATTAGCGTCTAGACTAAAACCACCCCCTGACACAATTAGTGTCACCAGAACAGGCAGGATTCGTTCCGCATAGACAGGAGGGTGACATTACTAGACACTTTATGAACCTCATAAATTGAGCACAATCCACCCAACAACAAGGTCTGCTTTTGGCACTGGACACTGAAAAGGTGTTCGACCGTTTAATCTAGTCATATATGCATAAAACACTACTTAAATTAGGATTCCCGATTCTTTTTTTAGCTAGTGTAGTGGCCTAGTACTTATGCCCTTTGGCAAAGGTTTTTAATTTTGGCTTCCTGTCCTCCCCTTTATGCATAACAAATGGCACCCTCATTTTTATACTTTGTCTAGAGCCACTAGTCAGACACATCAAACAGAGAAAAGAGATCTCAGGGATAACTACGTCGGCTGGTGAAACAAAACTTGCTCTCTTTGCCGATGATATTCTTCTCTTCTTATCCAATCCGATTCAGACATTGCCACGTCTCAAGCTTTATCAGTACTAATGGCCTCGTCACAGCCACTTTGACTTCCCTTAGAAAATGCATGTTTGGCCCCAGATGCCACGTCCTATCTACTCTGGACTCAAACCCGATAAAACATAAAACAATGTTACCAACTACAAAGCATCTCCTCAATACGTGGTGGAGACAGGTGCCCTCCTTGTTGGGACCAGTGCAATTAATCACACTGGCTCCCTTGGAGACGTTGACTTCTATTACTTTGGATCTTTTTCTATAATCCTGGATAGACAAAGGGATAAAACGAATGGGGACTCTGTGCTCAAACGAGGGAATTAAACCATTCCCTGAGTTACAAAATGGTCATGCACTGCCTAACAAGGAATCGTTCATGTACCTAAGAGTGAAAAACATAGTTCAGTCTACACAGATTAAATACCATGCAGCGTTCGAACTGACCCTCTTTGGCGATACATTGTAAGGCTTACATTGTAAGCTCAAACACCTCTCTGTATGTTACAACTCTCAGTTGAACTCTGGGGAAACATAAACGCTCTC